GGGCGTATCGCATCTGCCAAGCATCACAGAAGAAGCGGGTGGAGAAATTGGGAAGAAGGGGAGTAGGGGGAGCATAGAATAGGAGGAAGGGCAATCGGTACTCGATGACGTCGGGTTGTGAATAAGAGGGGGAAGAGGAGGCCCAGGAGGGAGGAGGAGGGAGGGGGGAGGAGGGAGGGGGGAGGGGAGCGGGAAAGGAGGGAGGTGGAGAGATAAGACAGAGAACAACCGCCGGGTCACGACCCCAGAGAGAGAGAGAGGGAGAAGCAGCGAGCGATGTCAACAGCGATGGAGTTGTCCGAGCAGGTTGTACAGAGCATGGCCATCGGTGCGGTCTTCAAGGATTATGGCGCGAAGGTGAACTCGCTGGATTTCCACAGAACGGAGGACCTTCTGGTGACCGCGAGCGACGACGAGTCAATTCGCCTGTACAACACGGCGTCGGCGACTCTCCTGAAGACCATTCACAGCAAGAAGTATGGAGTAGATAAGATCTGTTTCACTCACCATGCCAATTCTGTTATGTACTCGTCGAAGAATAACTGGGATGAAAGTCTACGTTACCTGTCGTTGTTTGATAACCGTTACCTTCGGTATTTCAAGGGGCACAGGGATCGCGTGATATCGCTGTGCATGTCGCCCAAGAACGATGCCTTCATGTCGGGATCGCTGGACAAGACTGTGCGACTCTGGGACCTGCGGAGCAACGCCTGCCAGGGACTGCTTCGCGTCCGCGGACGACCGGCGGTCGCCTACGACGAGCAAGGACTGGTCTTCGCCGTGGCAATGGAGGGCGGCGCCATCAAGCTCTTCGACGTTCGGTCGTTCGACAAAGGCCCTTTCGACACTTTCCTGGTCGGCGGCGACACCGCGGAGGTCACGGGGATGAAGTTCAGCAACGACGGCAAATTAATGTTGTTGTCAACGGCCAACAGCCGAGTCTACGTGCTGGATGCTTACAGCGGGAAGAAGTTGCACTGCTTCACGCTGACGCCGGCGGAGAACGGGGGCACTCTGGAGGCCTCTTTCAGTCCCGACTGCAGGTTCGTCATATCGGGATCGGGAGATGGCAGCTTGAGGGTCTGGAGTACGGTGACCGGAGACGAGGTCGTGAGCTGGACCAATCACGCGGGAGTACCGGCGGTTGTGAAATGGGCGCCAAGAAGGCTCATGTTTGCTAGCGCGTCATCAGTGCTCGCATTCTGGATACCCGATCTGTCGAAATTGGCAACGGTAGGGGGAGGAGGAGGGGGGGCCGTCAATACGAACGCGATGATGACGGCGCCCGGGGGAGCGGGGATCCTTGCATAGGCGCGGGAATCAAGACCAGATACGTGTAGTTAGACATTGTAGAGTAGCAGTAGTAGTATTATTGGGAGATGGAGGAGGGAGGAGTGATTAGGGTGTGCTGCCGTTGCTGGCAGTAAAATGACGGCGGTGGTGGTAGTCGTGATTGATCACGATGAGTTAATTTGAGCAATTGAATGGGTGAGAGAGAGATGCAGGCCTCTTGATTTCACATGTTCCCCGTAGAGCTTGTCCGTCCTTTTGCCTCCTCCGTATTCTGTCTCCTCCCCGCCTCCCTAATCATGTAGGCCTCTTGGTTTCTTCTCATGTTTACTGTTTGTATTCTTCTCCCCCTTCCCTGCTGTCTTGTCATTGTCGGCAGACCTCCAACCCCCCTGTGGTTCGTTCTCTCTCTCTCTCTCTCTCTCTCTCTCTCTCTCTCTCTCTCTCTCTCTCTCTCTCTCTCTCTCTCTCT